ATCCTTCATTTAATTTGAATTAAGAAGTCTTGACTTGAGAACAATGTGCGATTGGACGGCGCTAAGCGGAAAGAAACCAAGTCACATCACACGGAAAAAAATTAAGTGTTGATTTAGCGTTTGAATTGTTAAAAAAAGGCCCGTCAAGTTTCCAATGCTGATTTTACAATACAAAAATGCTAATACGACATTGACATTTGTTCGTTTTACAGTGGGAGGAAGTTAAATTAGCATTTCTTAAAATGTAAAATCAGTATCTGAAACTTGTCGAAAATGTTTTTAACAATGTAAATGATAAATCAACATTTAATTTTTTTCCGTGCAGCTCTTGTCAAATTTAATGAGGCCATTTAATTTTTTACATGAAAACGGTTGAGCCGATTTTTGTGGAAATTTATGTGAATTTACAGCATAGTACGAGGCAAATGTCCTCTAATGTTTAAAGGAATCCGCACAAAGATTCTCTTGTAAACATTAAATTGCCTCATTTTGTACAAGAACACCAGGACACCAGGAAACACCAGAACACCAAGAAACCAAGACACATCAGCTATTGTCAAATTTAAGGGGGCCATTTTATTTTTTACATGAAATGCCAATTTTTGTGGAAATTTGTGTGAATTAACAGCATAGTACGAGGCAAATGTCTTCTAATTTTTAAAGGAATCCGCAGAAACATTCTCTTGTAAAACATTGAATTGCCTCATTTTGTACAAGAAAGGATAACATTAAAGGAGTTCGAATTAATTTCATCAACTTTCCATTCACTTTACGAACAGTCGTGACTGACTGACTTCGCATTATCCGAACTGCGGATTGATTATTGAAATTGATAGTCAAAGCAATGGACAAAAAGGACACAGGGAGTATGGAGCGATCCTATTGATTGAAATGTGTGGTTCCCATGGACTAAGGGAGAAAATGATGGACTAACTGTCGGGTTTCTCGTGGGTTGTCTTTAGTTAGTCTATTACCTACTGCCTTTGTCCATTGCAACCACCCACTTCCACCAATAGGATCCCTCCATACCCCTTTTGTCTTCTTTGTCTACAGCTATGTCTATAAACTTCAATAATCGAGCCGCTGGCTCCACATTAATTCGGATAATCTTACAATTAGATTTATTGATTTCAGTCTATCATTTCTCCCCTCGATGAATAACAACCACTCGTTTCAACCAATATGGTCGCTCCTTTTTCCTTTTCCTCTTCTTTGTCTATCGTTTTGTCGATCAATTTCAATAATCAGCCGGCTGCTGACGCACGCCCGATCGCGACGGGAAAAATTCATTTTGCAACGTTCCTACAGGCGCAGTTTGCTCGGAGAGCAATGACGTTTGACATTGAGATTATAACGACCGGATTCACATAGATCAGAGGCGTTGATCCCGCGATATTATCCAACGAGCCGGCAAAAATGTTGTTCTTTTTTTTTATCTCCCGTTAGTAACGCGCGGTCAATTATGTCTCATATTACTGCACTCTCAGCACTGACAATAAGTGCGAGTGCAGCTCGTCTACTTTCTCAGGTAAAAGCAGCATTCGAAAACTTCGTCTACGAATAGAAAACAGTATTTTCAGCAGTTTCATCCACTGCACCTCACAATTTCAGAGTTTGCTGATTATTTTGGCTTAAATTTGCTCAAAAATGTGCGCGCGCAAATTATGGAACTTTTAGATTAAGATACTTTGATAGGTTTAAATGTTTCATATATGTATGCAGATGTAATGTTTTCCTACCAGATCGATATGAATCGTACTCGATATATTGTGGATGGTTCTAAGACGTTGCGAATAAATCGATTGAGGCGTAGGCAACAAGTTTGAGTGATTTTTATCCGGGTTTTTTTCGCATTTTCGTACGTTGTCCTCAGCCTCACTAACTTTAAGGAATTGTTACTAAAGACGAAATTACGAAAAGAAGGGAGAGAAAAAAAGAAAGGTTACGGCGGAGAATGGGTGGACTTTAAAAACTTTTCTTATACTTTTTCAAGGAATCTATGGTATTAAATGTACCGAATAGAAGGCAATAAACGGACGGTTCAGACGGTTAGTGAGTTGGAATAAATACGCATTATTCATTTTGATAAGAGGTTGAATAAAGATAAGGCTGAAACGCGTTCATTTCAACAATTTTCATATTTGTTCTTTGCGGCTGAAGTATTAGGTGGCTGATGACGTTAATATTGGGTTCGCCTACTGACTAAATCATTGAGTGATTTTTCTGAGTGCATTGATGCACGCCTTCACAAAGATTCAGATGATCAGTTTCCGAGTATAAGTTTCGATAAAAAATAATAGGAAAAAAGTTCCTCTAAAAAATTGGACCGCGTTTGGCAGAGAGAAACTAAGCCACATCAGCAATTGCCAATTATTTCACCGTGCAATTTCATTATTAGAAGAGAACGTTTGTGCGAATTCTTTCGAAAATGTTAAGGAATTTGTCTCGTTCTATGCAGAAAATTCACTGAAATTTGCAACAAAATCCGCACAACCGTTTTCATGTAAAAAAATAAAATGCCCGATTTCATCTAGCAATTGCTGATGTTACTTAGTTCCTTTCTAAACACGGTTCAATTAGACAAAATACCGTGATATTAATCGAAGTATTAATACCGGTTAAATTTTTGATGCCACTTCATTCGGTTTTTAGAATTTTCCATCACTCAAGGAAACCTTACGAAAACGGAGCTGCTTACGTCCAAGCCGATAATATTCCGAGACGTCGAAATATGGAAAGCTTCTGCTCAGGAAATCACAAGACAATAACTCAGAAACAGCCTTGAAACTCTTCTTAGGACTTCGGAACTACAGTGTCACTCCACTCGTCTCGTGATAAACTTGTTTAGCATTTGTTTCGGTCATATTCATAAATTATTTGCGACGCGGACGCCAGAGTAGTTGCCAAAATCTTCTCCACAGAGATCAACCGAGATCTATGAACGCTAAAGGTTAACAACTCCAAAAAAGATAATTTTGTTTGCTCTTTAGCAGGGGGCCTAAACTTCACATTTCATATCCGTTTTGGTATTTGACACTAAAACCGATGTGAATAACTTTCAATTGTCTCAACTGAGTAGAGTAGTTTTCCATTTAAAACGTAGAGTATGACAGGAAGTCTGCAACTTTGCAAACCGAGATACGTGATTGCGGACTTACGCCGTCGATATTTATCATTGCACAATAACGTGCCACTCAAATTCCCAAGAATCGAATTTTGCTGACAAAAAACAGCATTAGTTAAGAGCAACTCCCGCTGTGCAGCGTAAGCTGTCCAATTGACTACCTACGTCCGTTAATTTTAGTGACTAGCATTGCGGTCTTTCGTAAGCCAAAGAAATGAACGCTGTGTATGCAGGGTAAATATTCATCACCTTCCATAATAGTGCAGTATCTACCACCGGAGGCAGCAAATACACTGCAAAAGTGCGTGATAACACGTGGGATCAGCCGACAGAACACTTCCCGCCAAAACTAACACGCGCCGGAGTCCAGGGCGACGAACGACTCGCAACACGCAGAAATCACTCGCGCGAATATTCGCGCCAAAGAGAGAACGCGCTGCGATCCACGATCGAGCAATTGAACTTGTACACGCTGAAACGATTACACGCACCAAAGCCCGAAACGACGCGTAAAGCACAACACGCGTCTATCACTAGGCGAGTAAAAATCACAATTCTAAAACAGCAAGCACACGTTAAAAATGTGCGGATCTTCGAGAAAACACGCGAGTTGACACTCCAATGAACTAACACGCGCCAAAACTTGAAGCACGCAGATTTGGCGCACTCGGCGATCGGAAAACACTCTTATGCAAATAATCTCAGAGAAGCGAATATGCGGTGCGAACGTCCGGAACTACGAGAAGACACGAATAAATGAGCGATTGAACACGCGTTTAAACACGCGATTTAAACCGCGATTTTACACGAGATTCAGGGGACGCACACTGGGACTTAACAGGCGCCAAAGCCAAAAAGCGACGTATAACTCACAGCACGAAAAAATTGGCGCATCGGACGATGGTAAAGCACACCATTTCTCGAATCTTCTCGAAAAAAAAAAGGCGAGATGGGTGCACCCGCTGTGAAACACGCGGTTCGACACGCGGTGGCGCCAACGTCCCGGAGTCCGGATCGAATCGCGAGCGCGCGACAGACGACTGACGACTGGCAACGTGCTTGCGCCCCGGCCGTCGGCCGGGCCCCCGCCACGCTGCCAAATCCACCCGGAAACGAAGGATTTCCCCGCGGAAACCCGGGGAGATAGGTTTTTTGAAAGCGATGTGGCAACGCCGGCTGCATGCCGCTCGCGTTCTAGACTTCATTGAGAACGATCCGGGGCGACGTTGCCGCGGCGGCGCCGCCGACGCCGGCGTCAGTTGACAAGGTTGCAAGACTGTGCTATGATAATCATCCCCAAATGAGCATTGATGGCACTTTGGCGCTGGCAACATTGCGCCAGAGGTGCAGGAAATGTTTTTTCGCGGGGGGTCGAATTCAGCGTGAAATTAGGAAAATACCCGAGTGTTAGAGAACCTGTAAAAAAAAAAAAAAAAAAAAAAGTTAAATTAAGAGATAATGTTAAAATACCATAATCAGGTTTGCTCATTTCATTGTATTATAATTGGACTGAGTTAAGCAGAAAAGAACCAACAAACATTTTGGAAAAAATTGAGTTATAAGTGGTTTTGAACTCAACCACTGCTCTACTGTCTATCGTCAAAAATTCAAAGTTTTCGTTAGATGCAGAAATTGAACTTGAAGTTTATATTTTACATTGAGCCTTATGCAGTAGCTAAACTTTAAACCTCTTTTTCTCGGTTCGATCCCGATGTGGCTTGGTTCCTTTCTGTTTAACTCCGTCCAATTTATGGTGAATATAATACTGAATCAAACATTTTTTCCCCTTTAAGGCAGCTAAAGCAAAAAGGACTATCAAACCCTCCATATTTATTTCGAAATTTTTGGATTTCGACATTTTTAACTGTGACGCTTGTTGAATATCTTGTTTGAAAAAATGACGAACTCGAAAATAGAAATTCTTGGAAAATCATCAGATTAGAACGAAACTGACTTACGCATTTAATTCCAGGGTTGAGATAGTAAGACAGAAAATGAATTGGTGGATGCGAAAAACTTGAAACTCACCTGAAACAAAAAGTTAAGCCATGATAAGTAAAAAGTTAAGATAAAGTTAAAGAATGAAAAGTTAGGTTATGAGTAGTACCTATACATTAAAATTTAATAATTTCCAAAAAAAAAACTGAGAAAATCAATTCATCTATGTGCGTCAAACTTTCGTTGGACGCCGAAAAGGAATTGAATCGCATTTAGCACAAAGGAACCAGCGCGATTACAGTGTTTTCAAAAGTGTGCGACTTCTTCTTTTCTATTAAAAATACTTAATACGCGTAAACCATTAGAATTTACACAATTATTTTCATTTAAAATTAATAAGCATAATGGTGGGAAGCAAAATCTATTTGCTATTTTGGGACGATTTTTAGATAAAAATAAAGAAGCAACATTTTAACAACACCGTAATCGCACTGGTTCCTCTTTGCTAAATGCGATCCAACTGTCATCAGGTATTTCGTCAAAATATTGGGCGCAGTTTGTAAATGTATGTCGATTCTCACAAAATTCTGACCGATTTTGAAAAGGACCTCTTGATTTTTCTTTATTGGAAAATAAATATGATTAAATTAAATTAAATTTTTTTCTTGAATCCTAAAAAATAGACTGAACCGCACTAATTTTAGTCGACGGTACTGTAAACAAGTTCTTTTGGATGACCTGACACGAAAAAAAGTAACTCAAGGTAACCCAAAATAACCATGAACATAGAAATTTTCAACCGTGCAAAGGAAAATATATTTGCAGACTTCCGGGTATGAAACTTGCCTTATTCAGCTCCGAAACATCCCCACAAGTGTGTGCCTCTCATTATGAAACGGAAAAATCTCATTTGCTTCATTTCAATGCAAAATTATGAAGATCGTGTGAGACTTTCCAAATAGAAAACCAAGCCGAGATGTCTAAGACCAGCGAACAAATCCGAAGTTTTTGGTTTCTGTTTTTCGATTACGGAGCATTACATTTCAACCTGTATGTAAAACAGCAAAGCTAGAGTACACGAAGAGTTGGGGGCTTTGTTTCTTTTGATGTCTGATTCAGCCCTTAAAAGTTAAAAATGCATGCATGTAAAAGTTTCCTGCCGACGAACCGGCTTTCAACTCTCCGACACTGCTGCCTCACTACGTCGTTCCCTAACGAAATGACGTAACTACATTTCAATGTTGCCAAAATTCCACTCGCAAATTGCACTTTTACCAAGAGAATTCTTGGAATTTCTAACTGAAATTTTCATATATTTTTCTTCGTTTCTCAAGCAAAAATTAGGAAAATTTTGGAAAATTATTTTACAGGCGTATACTTTTAAAAAAATTGAATTGCTTGAGACAATTTTGTAACCTTGGAATGGAGTTACGTTCCTTCTTTGGGAAACGACGAGTATAGAAACGGGCCAAACCGAGGATTATGGATGTAGACTTGATATCAGCACCGATGAGAAAAAGTTAACTTTAACCCTTCTTGTGAGAGAACGGCGCTCTTATTATACAAATATACTACAAGAAAGCGCTCTTTTCCTTGTGCAAAGTTTTGAAGTCTTCAATTTACTTTATGCATCGAAGTTTCTTGCGTTTTCCTGGCCCGATTATTAAAATTTGCAAGAGGGAAAAGTTGCAAGAAACGGAAACTGCAAGTTGCGGTCCACAACTTGAAATCGGAAATATTCAGAGCGAGGTGACTTTGTCGTAAAAAAACGTCGTTTGCCATACTTAGGAAAGTAAACTCCATTCCACAAATGCAAAATTGATCGAAACATCAATTGTTTACAAGAATATGAACATGCGATTTTGGGTCCAATATTTTGCTGGGTTGTCCGTGAAATTACCTAAAAGAAAAATCGGTGAAATCTTCAGGTAGAGACGCATAAATATTTTCGGGTGATAAAGCGATGTGAGGGTAGAAATTTTGCAACTTCGAAATATGCGCAAGTTTTTTCGTCCAAGAAGCGATAAAATGAACTATCAATCTCGGTTAGTGACCACTGACCAATACGCCTGCATGAACATCAAGCGCAAATTTTATCAGTCCCTTACACATTACTTCAAATACCCAAGTTAGCAAAACGATTATTGTCTTCTGTGTCAAAATTTCCGACTGTATAGGCTGACATTATAACTTTCCTAAAAAAAATTTGTTTACTAAAGGAAATCTGGCAACTCTCGAATGTTCATACAACGTTCTTCCTTAGCACGGTAGTGTTCCTTACTTAGTTTTGCTGACGGAGTTTCGAAAATCCCTCGACGGTGTATACAATTTTCTTTCACGATACTCGAGACGTTGTAAGATGTGGACTAAATACACCACCTCGAATCCGTCAAAAGCCTCTTAGAGATGAACATCCATCGACTAGTTTACGATTGACTTCTGGATGGATTATTTCAGCACTGAATCATTTTCAATGTTGCCAATAATTGGTTATTAAGTTTCTGAATGATAATCACTCTAAATTCAATCGCATTTTGTCCATTCTAATGAGCAAGTATAGTGGGTCACTAGGGTGTGAACGAATTTTGACTATCAAATACATTTTTCCAAAGGTTAATGGTGCGTAGAACACGATGCGCATTGAAAACGCGACAAAGTAGTAATGTCCTAGCCGGAAATGTTCATGAAGGGGTGGAGGCTCAGGGTACAACAATCCTGAAATTCATTTAAAAAAAAAAAAAACGGTTTTTTGGGAAGGGGGGGTATGTTTTCCAGTGCAGCGGGATGTTGGATGAAATTGGTAGACAAAGCTATAGACGAAGATGGCAAAAGGGATGTGGAAGGATCCCATGGGTGAAAGCGGGTGGTTCCAATGGACAATAGCGGTAGATAATAGTGGGTAGTAGGTCCGATGGTTAGTCCATCTTTTTCCCCTAAGCCCATAAGAACCACCCATTTCAACCAATAATATCGCTCAATATTCTCTATGTCTTCTTTGTCCATTGCTTCGTCTACCAATTCCAACAATATGCCCCCCGCTTGTTAGCCCATCTCGCCAAGACCCCCTGAAACTTCCCTTCCCTCTCCTAGCTCCGACACTGAATATGAGGGGGGGGGGGTCCAAATTTTTAAAAAAAACTGAGGTTAAACTCGGCGCTTGTACAGGCAGAATAATGATCGACGAGCGAACGCTTTATTACCCAACTGCTAGCGGAGCTCCGTAGGTTCGTAGCGGTGAGATACGGCGCCGAAGCGGGAAAACGCATTTTCCGCGAGCGAAACTTCTGCCGTGCTAAAGAAGAACGTCATACGAGCCATCAGGCGTTGCCAAATTTCCTTCGGCAAATCGCAAATTTTCAGGAAAATCTGTGAATATTTCTCCTCCAATTTTTTACAAGATTTCGTTCATAGTTTGGTATAAAAAGTCAGAAACTTTCAATGAAAAATATTCATATTTCTCCTCCAATTTTTTACAAGATTTTGTTCGTAGTTTGGTATAAAGAGTCTGAAACTTTCAATGAAAAATCTTCATAACTTCTTTCAAAAATGAATATTTTCATAGGACACATTTGGCAACTCTCGAAAGTTCATACGGCGTTCTTCCTTATCACGGCAGAATTAACCGTATACGATGGCGCGGGTCAAACGCTACCCGCGGGCCGGGCGAACGCGCGACAACGCTGGAACTAATCGCATCCGACATCAGATAAAAAAAGTTATAAAAAATCCGGATAATGTTTACTCACGACTTCAACAGCACATCACTCTCAACTAGGGCCGCGATTCGCTCGCTGGTGCCCCCCCCCCCCCCCATTTGCACTCCGACCGCCCGGCTCAACAAGTTGCTGATTTACACCGCCGCGAATAAGGGCGGGAGAGGTCGCGGGAGGTGCACTGTGCACTGCCGCGGCCGTGCTACGGAAGAACGCTGTATGGGCCATCAGACGTTGCCAAATTTCCTCTGAAGAACGCACTGGGAAAAAAAACACATTAGATCTACAGTTCAGACTCTTGAAAACATTGACAAGAGAAAGGACTCTTGATTCAATCAGATTTAAGCTTAAATCAAGAGGAAATCCGCTGAAATTAAGAGGCTTGGTTCTTGATTTAAGCTTAAATCTGATCGAATCAAGAGTAATTTTACTTGTCGATGTTTTAAAGAGTCTGGACTCCAGATCCAATGTGTTTTTTTTTCCAGTGCATGTGGTTGATTCTACCCGCTGTTTCTATTTTATTATTGGACGATCGCACAACACTGCGAAGGCGAAAATTCCGAACGACTTAGCACCGGTGGATAATGCGCAAAAAAAGGAAAAAGAATCCCGGAGTGCACTAATTCGTGAATAAATGGGAAGCTAGAGCGTTCGCCGGGTTTTGAGTCGTTGGTGCGGCTGATAAGTGTTCCCCGTTGCGTCACTTGGCGTAATGAACCCGTCGTTCACGGGAGATAACCGGGAGGATCGCTGATACCGTCCCGTCGCGTCGTGTAGGAACCTTATCCCTCAGGATTATGGATGTGTTTGAAGCTTTCGTAAATGTTGCCCGAAGGCAGTGCGATCCTCGCCGGTTGGCGGTATTGAGTTTCGTCTATTTGAACGCATGTAGAACAATCGATAAGCCAGGTTTCACGATCGAATATAAAGACAACAATACCGACCAGTGTAAACATAAAGACGAAAGACGAAACACCGCTGGCACTAGGAAAACGGATCTCACATTGCAGGGGAGTCTGATAAAGCTACAAGTGTTCAGTGTTCACGATTCAACATTCGTAGAACGCCAAAAATACAAGAGATGCGGAGGCGAATCCAGCAATTTGGCAACACTAAATTGCCTCCAGTTAAACCTATGCTAAATAATCGATTCTCGTCGAAGTACCTGGCCCCTCCACGAATCGATACCTTTCCATGGGATTAAATGGAGAAAAGACAATGTTGCCAATTTGCTGGATCCACCAATGAAGAGATGTCATTTGTATAATCAAAGTTACATTTGGACCGCGTTTAGCAGAAAAATACCAAGCCTTATCAGATATGGCCATATTTAACTCGGCACTTCAATTCTTTTCAAGTGAACGTTTGCGCGGATTC